TTATATTTTTTTTAACACATAACCTAGGCAAAAATAACGGGGAGGGGAAGGTTAGTTACATTATATGATCATGCATTGCATTGGGCTGGCAATATGCCAACGTACATATATCTATGTCTTAAAATTATTTGCCACTGCATTCCATTTTATACCCACCGGTGGTGACTTTCAACTTGCCATGGCCAAATGTTCATTCACTAATAGCAAGTGCCAATTTTGAGAGAGTATGTGTGTGTGTGTGTGTGTGTGTATATATAAATATATATATATATATATATATATATATATATATATTCTATATCTCTCTATCATTCCCTTCAGCCTATTTTAAAACCATTACAGTGATGGCAATGTCACTCAGCACTCTGTTTTTTTCTGATGGAATGCAAAAGTGACCGCTTGGTTGAATCCTCAATCTATCTGCCAATGTCTCAAGGGGTGGCTTTTATACATTGTAACACTTGCAAGCAAGCCTCCCTTCTTCAGGTTGGTTAGGTTCCTCCACTAAATCTGTAAAGTTAACAGGGGACTTTGTTGTTGTTAATACTACAATAATAAATATTGCAAAGTATTTAACCAGGAAAGGTACATTTAGATTACTCTGGTTTGTCCTGGGGATTTTACCTTTGCCAAACATCCAGGTGTTACTATTATCCAACTCAATGGTACTCATTTTATCTACCTCAGAAGGATGATTGGGTGAGTCAACCCTGACAGATTCTACTGATGATGAATTAGACCCCTGAGCTATCTCACTGGTGCTAATAAAACCTGATTTGCTTAGATCATCCATGATGCCATAAGAGAGGTTTGCCATCAATGTGCAGTATTCGATTATTTTATTCAACTACATCAGGCATAGTCTGAATTTGGTATTTCCAGTAAACTTTCTGTTCTTTGGATGGCTCGCATTCTGAGCTAGCATGAATCTCTTAAAACAGGATGTTACTGCTATCAGAACTTCTTTTTATAGCACTCAGGAACATGTACATAAAAGAATCATTTATCATCTTGTTTATTTTTACGGAAAGGGCTAAAGTGAAGAATGCGTGTCTCAAATTTAAATTTTTTTTTGCCTTAAATTTTGAAAGTGCATAATGTTTTTAATTGCATAAAGGGTAACTCGTTTAGCTGTAGACCTATACCGTCTGGGTTAACTACCATTTGGCTGCGCTTATAGCTGTGAGTGATGTTATGGTCTATCACTCCAGAGAAAATTTCCATTTCCAGCATTTCCCTATGATGCCTTTTGACATATTCAAAATGGTTTTTTTTTCCCTTCTTTCTTCCTAATCTGATACCTTTATTTTGGTGAGCAACCTGTCACAGATTCAGCTGTGCATGTCCTTTGTCTTTTACAATGGCTGATGTTATCCAAGGTATGCTGGTTACCAGGACTCTATGGGCAGAGCACAAATATCTCTGAATTCAATTATTTATAACCATTTATTACTTTTGAAAAGCTGACGACTGAACCTGGAACGATCGAAAAATTTAGCTCATAGCGATTTGACATTGTGTCTCAAAAAGGAAATATTTTATAATCGTGGTTTGGGGCAGAAGAGACTGGATTAAATTGAAGAATGTTGCAAAATAGGCTAATGCATATGAAATACATTCAAATGTTTAATACCAAGTTTGGAAACGTCCAGGGTAAATGCTATCAGAATATATACAAATGTCTTGAATAAGATCTCCTTGGTTACTCTCTCTAGCTAATATCAAGTTAACACTACTATCAAGTTAGTACTACTTTCCCTTGGGACATTCAAATTTTCTCCCTTGGCATTTAATCAACTACTTAGACACACTAGGATTATTCTCTATATAAAGATTGCTACAGAGAACATTTAAAACATTAAATTAGCACAAGCACTATGATTGTGTTCTGACTTCAAAAACTTTTGTAATTTTTTTTTTTTTTTTTATAGTTACTGATTGAGCTTATAATGAGGACTCTGTTTTAAAACTGACACCTTTTTATATTCTCTGTGCATCTAGTACTTGTCCATCACTGTTTTGTAGTTTTGTTTTGTGAAATTCTAAAAGTTTCCGCATACTAAAAGCTCTTGAGCTGCTCGTCTGGGATTTCTTCTTCGTGTCTCAAACATTTTTGTTTCTTTTGTAGAGTGAAGCAATGCTTCTCAGTTCATTACAGGTTTTAAGCAATGAAAGACATGTGTGTTAAAGTTTAGATCCGACATTGGGATCATATTACTATCACTAAATGAGCTAAAGAGCCCTTCGCTTGACTGTCATTTGTAATACAGGGACTGGATTGCATCCAGTTTAATTATTTAGGGAATTTTAAAGGGAACTAGAAAACTGTGTCAGAAAGCTCTGGAATTGCACCAGGGAAAGGATATAGTCGGTGTATACTGATTGCAAGCATTGGCAGACACAGGGTATACAGGTGGTACTCGAAAACTTAGAATATTGTGCAAAAGTTCATTTATTTCAGTAATGCAACGTAAAAGGGGAAACTAATATATGAGGTAGACGCATTACACGCAAAGCAAGATAGTTCAAGCCGTGATTTGTCATAAGTGTGATGATTATGGCTTACAGCTCATGAAAACCCCAAATCCACAATCTCAGTAAATTAGAATATTACATACAATCAATAAAACAAGGCGTGTACATAGAACAATATCTGACCTCTGAAAAGTATAAGCATGCATATGGACTCAGTACTTCGTTTGGGCCCCTTTTGCAGCAATTACTGCCTCTATGCGGCGTGGCATGAGAGCGATCAGCCTGTGGCACTGCTGAGGTGTTATGGAAGACCAGGATGCTTCACTATAGGTCTTCAGCTCGTCTGCATTGTTCGGTCTCATGTCTCTCTTCTTTCTCTTGTCAATGCCCCATAGATTCTCTATGGGGTTCAGGTCAGGTGAGTTTGCTGGCCAATCAAGCACAGTAATCCCACGGTCATTGAACCAGGCTTTGGGGCTTTTGGCAGTGTGGGCAGGTGCCAAGTCCTGCTGGAAAATGAAGTCTGCATCCCCGTAAAGCTCGTCTGCGGAAGGAAGCATGAAGTGCTCCAAAATCTCCTGGTAGACGGCTGCGTTGATCCTGGACTTAATGAAGCACAGTGGAACACCACCAGCAGATTACGTGGCTCCCCAAATCAACACTGACTGTGGAAACTTCACACTGGACTTCAAGCATCTTGCAGTGTTTGCCTCTCCATTCTTCCTCCAGACTCTGGGTCCTTGGTTTCCAAATGAGATGCAAAAGTTGCTCTCTTCAGAAAAGAGGACTTTGGACCACTGAGCAACAGACCAGGTCTGTTTTTCTTTAGCCCAGGTAAGACGCTTCTGACGTTTGTTGTTCAGGAGTGGCTTGACAAGAGGAATACGACCTCTGAAGCCCATGTCCAGGATCAGTGTGTGTGTGGTGGCTCTTGATGCATTGACTCCAGCCTCAGTCCACTCCTTGTGAAAGTCCCCAACACTTTTGAATGGCCTTTTCCTGACAATCCTCTCCAGGTTGCTGTCATCCCTGCTGCTTGTGCACCTTTTTCTTCCACACTTTTCCCTTCCACATAACTTTCTATTAATGTGCTTTGATACAGCACTTTGGGAACATCCAACTTCCTTTTGCAATTACCTTTTTTGAGGCTTTCCCTCCTTATGGAGGGTGTCAATGATGGTTTTCTGCACAACTGTCAGGTCGGCAGTCTTCCCCATGATTGTGATTCATACTGAACCAGACTGAGAGACTATTTAAAGGCTCAGAAACCATTTGCAGGTGTTATGGCTTACTTAGCTGATTAGAGTGGGACACTGTGAGCCTAGAATATTTTCACAATATTCTAATTTACTGAGATTGTAGATTTGTTTTTTTTTTAATGAGCTGTAAGCCATAATCATCGCATTTATGACAAATCACGGCATGAACTATCTTGCTTTGCATGTAATGCGTCTATCTCCTATATTAGTTTCCCATTTTATGTTGAATTACTGAAATAGATGAACTTTTGCATGATATTCTAATTTTTCGAGTATCACCTGTAAAGTAAACCAACTCTGCAACTTTGGAAGTTAAAGGGTTATTTGTTCCCTGGACTTGATAGGACATGGCAAACAAACCATCTTAAAATAACAGCCAGAAAGCTGTTTACATACAGGTTACAATGGTGCGATTTGCACTAGTACCCCAAATGGTTAAAGGTTTAAAACATGTGCAGAAAAAGGTTTGTTCGCCTTGATAACCAAGAAGTGCAAGAAGTATTGTTGTTTAATATATGCCTTGGTGTTTCAGTCTTAAAATTTGTTGTAGGGAATGATTGTTTGCCTTTATTCAACCACTACTGACCGGTGAGTATACTGCAGACTCTCATGTATATTTCTGTATATAGTTTATTTAACCTTTTATTTAGATTCTGTTGCAGGTGGTGCATATGGACATATCTTGAAAAATGATGTCGTCTTCATTACCACACCAACCCTGCTACAAAATAAAAAAACAAAGTACAAAATCCATTTTGTCTCATGTTTCTAAGGTGACTGCAAATAATTCTACAAATGTGTTTATACATATATTCTTATGCCCAACTTGGTAACAAATGAAAGTATTTGGGGCTATGTGAAAGACTTATGCTGTATTGTAGGCTTGGGCTTTTGTTTTTTGCTTTGATGTTTACTTCCCAACCCCCCACCCCATATTTCCCCATATTGTATCCCATGATCATAAGGTGTCTGTCTACTTTACATTCTCTTATTTTGTTTTGGATTTCTAAAATCCCAACATCTCAAATTTTATGGTTTACTAATACAACAAAATGCACATTCATTGTAATGTGCTGCTATAGATATGTCAACCATTTTATCTAGTTAGAAAGCAGCTATGTGAGTAATAGAAAAGTTTACCCAGAGTATTTAGCGGACTAGTCGGTTGTCTTTGCGTACAGATCTGTTTCTTAATCCTGAATAATAATTAGCATATAAGTTCTGTTTCATCTTTGGCTATAACTTGATGGACAACACTACGCAACTTATAAAAGTACTTGTTGTGTAAACATTATTTCTAAAGAAAATCTCAGGGGTTTTTTTTGTATTTTTTTGTGCAAGAAGATATATTTTCCACTCACTGTACTTGCTGAATGTATGGGACATGCATAGTTAAAATTTTACTATGCATTTCTTGGACTTTTCAGTCTCCTTCAGTGCGGTCAGTTCAGTAGCTGACGTGAATTTCACAATGTGTTTAGTGTATAGCCCCGTGCCAACTTTTTCTGGACTGTTTTGCCCATACTTTGAACTTTGACTTATTTTGAAAGCAAAGGAAGTGGCTTGTAGTCAAATTAACCTTTTTATATACATTTGCTGGCAATTTTACCTGTACAGCGCAAATATAGTTTATATGTTTAACTAACTGAAGGTGATGTGCTCTACTTTTAGTAAAGTAGCATGTCAAAATAACATTTAAGTATTGATTTTGTTTTCTTTTCATAGTTGTATGAATACAATGCATACATTCATTGTAGTTTCCCTGTAAATCTAAAATGAGCGTCCAGGTAGAGGGGGGGAAAAAAACTGAGCTTTGTGTTTTTCCACATTTTGCTTTATAGTATTGTTTTGGAGGTATTCTCTGAAGCAGTTGTTCCCAATTCAGTCCTCGGGTTATTTTTAACAGTGCCGGTTTTGTCAAAATCACAATAGGAACAAGACTAGAAAATTACTAAAACAAAGACTGGGATGTGAACCACTGCTGTAAGGGACAATTTACATTGGATTTGACTCCCATTTTTTTAATGACATTCCTCACACTATGGCGTTAAGTGTTTCCAGTCTAACAGCTGTGTTTATCAATGCCTGGCAAGCTCTGTGCCCTAGTTTTATTTCTCTATGGAAAACCTTACCAGTGGCCTTGTTCATGATTTTATGTAAAGGTTGGCTTATAGTTGTGGTTATACACAATAGAGTAGGAATATGCAGGCAGAATATGTTGTTGTGCTTATTGTCTCTTAATCTGTATTTTACAATTTTGTTTCTTTCATAAAATTAAGCTTGATGGCAATATTATGTTTTTCTTTGGGGAAATTTTTTATTTTTTTTAAACAAAACTTATGAAGCACAATTGATTGAAAATAAACTCTCACCAAACCAGAAAATAACTGGTTAAATTAAAATGAAACTGTCATGCCACCTTTTACTATGGCTCGTTTAAAGAGCACAACATTTTATATATACGGTACATTGTGATAGCAGTTGTTAGCAAATGTATAAAGTGGGATAAAAATCTATTTAAATATAGTTTTGTTTTTTTTTGTTTGTTTTTTTTCCTCAGTTCCTCAGCATACCCTTAATGCTAAAGAATTGAGAGATAGGAAGACCAGACAAGACCTCCATTCATAGCAACCATAGTGCATGATGTGTATATTAAGTTAGTATTTTACGGGCAAAGCAAGAGTATCAGTGGAGTTGCAGCACAAGTCTCCTTTTCCTACTACAGAATGTAACCGGATTATGTACACCAATGTTTTAGGGGCAAAATATGCCATATAGATTGGAGTGAGAGGTAGAAAGTGTTTTGTAGCATACTGTGTTTTTTTTTTAGTTAAATATATTTATAAAGTAAAAGTATATATGAAACCTACACGTTGCACCAAACCTCAATGTGCACGTGGAGTGTTCCTTTGTTTGCAAGGTCTTGTTGTTAAAGGACCGCTATAGTCACCCAGACCACTTCAGCTCAATGAAGTGGTCTGGATTCCAGTCCACCAGGTTTTAACCCTTCAGATGTAAACATAGCAGTTTCAGGGAAACTGCTATGTTTACATTGCAGGGTTAATCCAGCCTCTAGTGCCTGTCTTCCTGACAGCCGCTAGAGGCGCTTCCACAACGCTGAATGCGAAAATCGAATTGAGCATGCAGAACGTCCTTGGAAAGCATTGAGAAATGCTTTCCTATGGGCGTTTTTAATGCGCGTGCGGCTCTTGGCTGCGCGTGCGCATTTGTCTCCACTCGGGAGCTGACGGAGGGGGAGCCTGTCGTTGGATAAAGGTAAGTGGCTGGAGGGGTTTTAATACCTTCAGCCCAGCGGGAAGGGCCGTGAGGGTGGGGTGGGACCTAAGGATTATATAGTGTCAGGAAAACGAGTTTGTTTTCCTGACACTATATAGTGAACCTTTAAGTGTGCATAGGTGGCATGTAGATTGATTTAATGTTTGAAGCATGTAAGGGCTGTGAAACAAGCTACTTTTTAATGAGCAAATTTTAAATCTAAATTTCATATGATTACCCACACTGTACAAATACTACTTTTATGTTCTTTGTATTCATGCAGAGACATCTACATAAAGCAGAAATCTGAGTAGTCACACAAAAGAAAGTGTGTATGCATATAAAAATAATTACAGTAAAAATTTTTTTTTTCTTTTTCTAGTACAGTAAGAAAACCTGGGCTTCAGTTTTAGTAAATATTAGAAAATATGAAACTGAAACCGTTGACTTCTACATATCCTGTAACATTTTTTACTTTAAAATGCTATATAAAATACATAAGGGATGGTCAAAATGCTTCGATCTAGCAAAGCACTGTAACATACAACAGGAAAGGAAAAAAGACAATTCCTTGCTCTGATTGGAAAAATGAAAAAGAAGCAGACAGGTGAAAATACTTAGGTTCTTTAATCAAGTCTTCACTAACATCACAATATACACCATAACATCTGACCTTTCATCCACTGTTATTGCCACTTTTAATGTTCTGAAAATACAAGCATTACACATTACATTTAGGGAAATCCAAAATGCTGAAATGTTACAACCCTACTGACTTTGGAACGAATACAAAAAAGGGGATAATCTGCTAAATTGAGAGTAGATAAAATAACATAGCGTATAACTGTGAGAGAATCACAAAAGGTATGTTTACAATTGGCCACTCACAAATTCAGATGTAAAACGCCCTTAAGTAAAATTCCTCCTTCAATGTCAGCTGGGTTCTTTCATCATCATACTTCCATCAATAGGTTGGAATGTGTTGCTCAAGAGAGAATATAGAGAAAGCAAAAAAAAAAGTAGTGCACTTCCAGAGTAAAGTCTAAAAAGAATTGAATAATTTACATATAAGTCTAAAAACAATCCGTTTTTACCACTGGGCGTCACACGCGTTTCGTCCTAGATTCGGACCTCTTCAGGGACTTGGTGATCAGTAACAACCCTACTGACTTGGGAACTAGAAGTTGTGGATATATATAAAGAATAATAAAAAAAGAAAAAACACTCCCTCCCATTACACAGCTTGTGTTATGCCAAGCACCATGACCACTTAAGTGATTTGAAGTAGTCATGGAAATTGGAGTCTGTATGTGCAGCCTTTTGCTAGGAAACTGCACATTCAAAGTTTATTCACTTTGATGCTAGAGGTGTAACTCTAACACCAGCAGCATCATTGGGACGCCAACCTGGAAAGCGATTTTAAGGTGTGTTAATGTCAGTTCTGTGAATATTTCTATGTACAGTGGGGCATTCGTTGTCTGAAAGAGATCAGCTGCTGCTTTCCACTAATAAATGGCCAAAATTGACTTTCATGCATTTCACTGGAGGACACACTGCTTTGTTGCATTACTGGAAAATGGGGCCATTGTACTCCTAGTCTCAAAACCACTACAGCAGGCTGTGGTGGTTATGATTGGAGTAACCCTCTAAGCCAGGCTTCCCCAAACTCTGACCCTCCAGATGTTGCTGAACTACAACTCCCATGATTCTATGAATGAAATAGGCTGAGAATCATGGGAGTTGTAGTTAAACAACATCATCTGGAGGGACGGAGTTTGGGGGATCCTGCTCTAAGCTAATTTGTTATGAAGGCGTGGGTGTCCAGATGCCTTGATACCTTCAGAGGTTAAACTGGTTGGCAACAATGAATATTGAGCTCCAGCATTTCTTCCTCCTGTCTTTTCTTCTTTTTTATCTTGCAATATGAGGAAGTGTTAGCCAGATGACTGTTGATAGGCTTGCAAGTCTTAGCTGACTAACCACAATACAGAATGGAAGAGAACCTGGGAGGTAGAGTGCTAGGTGCTGGATCCCCAACTTTGGGATACACTATTACTAATCGGTTTAAAAATCGCCTTGAAGTTTAAAAAGGTTCCTGCTTTCTCTTGGCACTATAAATCTAAATGAGTTTTAAGGGTTACGCTTACCCTAGGGCTGCATGGACTGAAACAGAAATGATTTAACTCCTATATGGCTGAGAATTGAGCAGTGGGACTGCTTAAGCTAAAGTTGTTGTGATGCCTATAATATCCCTTCAAGTTGTTAATGGGAAAACTCCCATCCCTATTGAGTAGTTGAAGAAGAAAAAAAAAATGGAATTGTGATGTCCCTTTAAAGTAGCCTTATCACTTTCAAAGTCTTTTATTTATATGATATATATACTTGTCTGAAGATCTCCATCATTCTTGTGGGTACCTTCTTCATTCCCCAGGAATCCTTTCCAGTGTCTGCAAAAAATCCTAAAAAGTATTACAATTCCTCAAAGGATTAATTTGTATGATGCTTCAAAAGATATGTGTTCCAACTGACTTTTGCTAGTGACTGCTGCTGGCAATTATACAAACATTGAAGGTGAATGCTCTTTGCCTTTTGTCTCCCATGGCTTTGTATTCAGAAAGTATCAATGCCTTCATTTTTTTTTTTTGTCACATTTCATGTTTCTGCCGTCTTCTACAGTTTTATTTTTTACATACGCCATAATGACAAAGCAAATATCTGGTTTTTGTGGGAGTTTTTTAACACTATTTACACCAAAATTGCAAAAAACACTAAAATATCACATAGACAGAAGTATACAGATCTTTAACTGTAATACTTTATTAAAGCACCTTTGGCAGCGAGTACAGCTCCAAGTCTTTTTAACATGATATTACAAGCTTTGCACACTTGGATTCTAGTAGTTTCTGCCATTCATCTCTGCAGATCCTCAAGCTCTGTCATGTTGGATGGGGCCATCAGTAAATAGCCATTTTCAGGTCTCCCCAGAGATGTTCGGTTGGCTTCAAAGAGGGGCGATCACTAAGCCACTCAAGGACATTCACAGAGTTGTCCATAAACTTTTTTTTTTTTGGTTTCTCTTGCATTTACGATTGGGGTCATTGTTTTGTTGTATGATAAATCTTTGGCCCAGTCAAAGGTTCTATACCAGGTTGTCATTAAGGATCCCTCATATGTTACTGCATTCAGCTTTTCCCGAATTTCTTCCACTGAAAAACATCCCCAAAGCATGATGCTACCAGCACCATGTTTCACTTTTGGGTTGGCATTGCACAGGTGATGAGCAGTGTCTGGTTCCCTCAAGACATTACACTTTAAATTAAGGCCAAACCGTTCAAGCTTGGCTTCATCTTGTTTCTTAGTCTGAGAGATTTTAATTGTATTTATATTTTTTTTCTTTTTACTTTTTATATTTTTCTTTGGCAAAACTCAAACAGGCTTTTATGTGTCATGCAGTGAGGAGAGGCTTCAGTCTTGCCAGACTGCTATAAAGGTCAGGTTAGTGTAGTGTTGCATTGAATGTTCAATTTCTGCAAGTTTCTAACATTTTCACACATGATCTCTGGAGCACAATCAGAGCGACCATTGGTTTCTTGGTCACCTCACCTCTCTTATCAAGGCATATTTCTCCTTTTGAATGGGCCAAGGAGCCAACTCTAGGAAGAATCAAGATTTTTCCAAATGTATCGGTTTAAGAATTATAAAGGCCATTGTGCTTTTGTGAAGCTTCAATGCAACCAAAAAATGTGTGCTTTTCCAAATCATTGAAGATGCCACAAGTCCAATCAAGTGTAGACATGTTTCAGTATTAAATCCAGAGAAATTGGATGCATTTGAGCTAAAGTTCAAGTGTCATCGCAAAGGATCTGTATGCTAATGTCAATGTGATGTATTTTTTTTTCTTTTTAATAAATTTGCAAGTTTTAAGAGTTTTTTTTTTTTTGTTTTTTTTTTTTTCAGTTTTAAGAATGCTCTCCTACTCTGGTAACTTTTCAGACAATGGATCATTGATAAACAAATGGAAATATGCAGTTACTATCTCCAAAGATGTGTGCATTCTCATATCTACTAATGAAAAGATTGTTAATCTAACTGATGGGCTGAGGTTGGGTCTTATCTTCAGAAAGATAGCGGACTTGCTGATTGTGCAACACTCACAAGGATATTTATTAAAGTGAAATTCCAATGTAAATTCAAAAAGAACGTCTAATTTAAGGTCAGAGCAGCAGAACAGAAAACATAAGACTTTGAGAATTCTTCCAGGTCAACTATTTTGGCCTTTAAAATTTAACACCTCCCCAACAAATGGTGTGTTAGGCCATCCTACAAAAGGAGGGCTTAAGTCATATGATGGCATAGCATGTCTTAATGATAGGGCCCTCCCCCTGGCTGGATACTTACCTTCCTTGGTGATTGCAATCAGGTGGACAACCCAGGCAGTCCTTCTGCAGCTAATCCTTCCCATCTGTGTCATGTGATTGACTCATTCACTGCAGTGGGACTACCTGGGTTGTCAGACAGATCCCCCAATATATAAGTAGTAAGTAACTTAATTATGAGAATAATAAATACACACTTTTTTCCACGTACACCTGCTCCTTCAGACATACCCACGGGAATAAATCTGGAGCTGAAAGGTCAGGTGAACGTAACTGCTTATTAGGGAATTTCTTGGTATTCTCCGCTTGCTGAACAGCAGTTTCAGAAGGTCCATTGTTTCCCCGGCTAGATGGGCAGTAACCCCATCCTGTTATAACCACAATTCAGAATGATTTTCCACCAAACATAAAGCCTTTTAAATCATATGCCCATATCTCCCAACAGTATTCTGACATTTTGAAAATAAACATTGCTGAACACAAATATATATTTTAGAGCTGCAAAAGCTACCAATATCATGGCAGCCACAGTTAAAATGTCATGTAAAACTTGAAAAATATTGATTTCATAATTTCAAACACTTTATTAGATTTTATTCATATTAAGTTATGTTTCATATAGAAATATTTAATGTGAAATAAAAAAAGCCCTATTTCTCCTGAACAAAATGATATAGAAGTGTGGGTGCACTTAATATGAAAGACATATTTATGGTCGAACACACACAGCTCAAATTCCAGGTTTTGTTTTGGTCCAAACTTGTACAATTGCCTTTGTCCTTACAGTGGTTACGGTCAGAGCAGATGATTTTTTTTTTTTTTTTTTCAGTTTGACTATTTTGACCTTAAGTTTGAAATTCATTTTGAATTCTCACTTTAGTAAATGAACCTGTAACTGACACTTATATTTTATCTTCCAAATATCTACATATCCAGTGATCAAACTAGTTGCTCTTTAGCAGTGATGGCTAACCTTGACACCATAAATTTGTTTCTGGACTACATTTCCCATGATGCTCAGCTAGCTTTTAGACTCTAAAAGCTAGCTGAGCATCATGGGAAATGTAGTCTCTAAAAGCTAGCTGAGCATCATGGGAAATGTAGTCCAGAAACAATTTATGGTGTCGAGGTAAGCCATCACTGCTCTATAGTCAACCAATATTGGCTTCTTGGTTGTGAATATGCATGTCTTGATTTAACTCCTTCCTTTACTCATTCATGGTCTTCTGTAAATGTTATTGGTAAGACAGATGTTCTCTGCTATTTTTAAGGAAAAAAAGCATTAAAGCTTTTCATGACTTAGTGGTGATTCTCTTGTTGTCTGTGAGGATTTCTGGATGAGGTCTTTCTTCAGAAATCATGGTTTGGTAGGAGTGTATCCATCTATTTGGAGATGGTTACTCCTTTAGATGCCATATTGCTGTTTGTGAGATATACCTATCTGCTCACAGAAGGCTGAAATTAGGAGTGATTTTTTTTTTTTGTTTACATTATTATTCAAGTACTCAACATTTTGTTTTCTTCACTTATTTATGATTAAGAATTAAGTTCACACATTGTTTAGTGTAACGACAGTTAAAGGGACTCTATAGTCACCAAAACAACCTCAGCCTAATGAAGCTGTTTTGGTAACATCATGCCCCTGCAGTCTCGCTGCTCAATTTTCTGCCATTTAGGAGTTAAGCAACTTTAGGCACACCTACATGCATGTGACATACGCAGCCTTCCTAAACATTTCCTGTAAAAAGTTATCTGATGTTTACACTTCCTTTACTGCAAATTCTATTTAGTTTAGAATATCTTATTTCATGTTCTGTTGATAGTTTGCTAGACCCTGCAGGAGCCTACAGTGATTAAAGTTCAGTTTACAGAGCCGTAGATAACCGTGTTTACGGTAAGTTACAATCTGATTTGATACATTTTTTTTATTTTTTTTTATCTTCATGCATTCTGTATCGGTCACAGTCAGGGAAGATGTGGCTATTGCTGCCTAAACACAAAAGTGATTGAACTCCTAAATGGCAGAGAATTGAGCAAACAGACTGAAGGGGCATGATCTATACACTAAAACTGCTTAATTAAACTAAAGTTGTTTTGGTGACTGTATTGACCCTTTAACTACCAAGGTTCAAGGGTGCTGCTGTTTTTTCTTCCTTTGCATCTGAAAAGACTGTGTTTACTGCAAATAACCTGAAGGGAATGATTCTACTCACCAGAACAAATGCAATAAGCCATAGTTGTTCTGGTGACTCTAGTGTCTATTTAATACCAACTTCCTGTGATCAGTTCCCACTGCTGCTTGTTTAGAAGTAACAGGGTCTCAGGTGGTGGATGGTTCCTATTGTAGTGTGATCACCATCACTCAGGTATTTAAATGTTAAAGGAACACTCCAGGCCGCTAAAGCACAAAGCACTACAGCTTTTGCACTACAGCTTTATATGTGGAGGGTCCTTTTTATTTTTTTATCAAAAGGCACACATTTCAATAGAAATTGTCACTTTTCTAAATAAAACTTGTTAAGCACCCTAGTTGTCAATCAAATAATCGTCCCTTTTAGTTTCTAGTTGAGCTAAACTCAAGAGGCAGTCAATTGATCAAAGTATCTCCCTTGTAAAGACTTCTCATTAAACTGCATAAGATGTTGGAATTGGTACCCCCACAGAAAGTCTGGGCCTTGGTAAGAAGAAGGTTTGTATATGCTTCAGACTAGATATACAGCTTTTTGCAAATTGTTTATGCATTTTTCATTTGATCTAGATCTATAATTAAATTAATGAATGTTTCCATTGGGGGGGTTTATCTACTAAACATTGGTTGTCCTTTTAAGGTTTAGTAGGTAACATTTTAAATGTTTTCAACTTTACAGCTATCATTATAGTCCACTTTGAAAAATATAATGCAGAAGATTATTCATGCATTATAACCAGTGTGACCAGATCACCGTGTTTGCAGGTACACATCATTTTGTCACATTTATAAAAATGCATGAAAAGGGTTGCCGTGTAGTTTGTATAATTAATATTCTGCAAAAGTCTTTATTGCTTAATGTTATTCACCTTTTTCTGAATTCTACATTCAGGGCTACCCCTTTTCATGTGCTGCCCATTAATGTGATGTGTCCCTGAAAATATGGTGTATCTGGTCACTTTGATCATAACCAGTACAGCCAGCATTTTTTAATCGTTTGCCACTTTCTTGGGTGCTTAGCCTCAATGAATGGCGGCTGAATAACAGCCGCCTTCTGCAGAAATGGAGAAGCTTGGTTCTGATACTGCTGTGCATTCCTTGCTTGTCGTGTTCCTAGTGCAGTAGAGAACACTGGTCAAAGTTAGCGTTAATATTTTTTTGTGTGTGAAAAATTCAGAAATTTGATCGCCAATTTTGGCCAGTGTTTGTGACTAAGTGGCTACTAAAAAGACTGGACAATACCCCATTTGCAATACCTTGGGTTGTTTACTTTTGCAAATGGTATGCCATCATGGGGGCTACCATATGGTCTCAAAGGCAACGTAACCAATCTGGCGAATTTCAATGTGAAAAAACTGAAACACAAGCCTATTTGACTCTGTAACTTTTGAAAGCACCTTAAAACCTGCACATTAGGGGGAACTTCGCTGAACACAAATATTAGTGTTTCAAAACTGTAAAACGTATCACAACAATTATATCGTCGGTGTAAGTGCTGTTTGTGTGTGAATAATGCAAAAAAGTCACTTAAACTGATGATATTGTTGTAATACAATTCACCTTTTTGAATGATTCTACTTGTGTTCAACGAAGTCTCCTGAGTAAAACAGTACCCCCATGTACAGTTTTTTATGGTGTTTTGGAAAGTTGCAGGGTCAAATTAAATTCTCTGGACTTTCTGCCTGATTTTTTTTTTTTTTATATATTATATATATATAATTTTGTTCTAAGTGTATTTTGATATCAATATATATTATCAAAATACAGTTAGAATGAAATTGCGCACACACATATTTTTTCCATTTATTTTTTAACATAATTATATAGTTTTATAAAATATGTAAAAATGTATAATATTCTACATGTATTTTGATATTAATATAAATATTAAAATACACCCTATTCCAAATTATTATGCAAATTATATTTTTCTCATTTACCTACATAATTGATGTAAATAACAGTCAGCATAATTCTCATGTTATCAATTAAGAGTACAATTCAAATTTAATGAACAAACCTAATAACAGTATTTTTTTTAAAACATAAGCTTACAATGCACTGTTACAAATTATTATGCACAGTAAGTTTCAAAACACTTTATAGGTTGTAAAGAACTGCAAATTATTTGTTGTGTTTGCAGCAGATTTACTGAAATCAAAAGTTATTTCAATCAAACTTAAAACAACAACTTTAACTTTTTTTTTTTTTTTTTTTAACATTTTAACATAGGACACCTTATTTGGTAGCAGCTTCACAAGTCTTGCATCCATTGAACTTGTGAGTTTTTGACAGTTTCTGCTTGAATTTGTTTGCAAGATGTCAGAATAGCTGCTGTTTGGATGTAAACTGTCTCCCACCTTCATAGATCTTTTGCTTGAGGATGCTCCAAAGGTTCTCAATAGGATTGAGGTCAGGGGAGGATGGAGGCCACACCATGACTTTCTCTCCTTTTATCCCCATTGCAGCCATTCATTGATGCAGAGGTATTCTTTGCAGCATGAGATGGTGCATTGTCATGCATGAAGATGATTTTATTACAGAAAGCATAGTTCTTCCTTCTGTAACAGGGAAGAAAGTGGTCAGCCAGAAACTCCACATACTTTGCAGAGGTCATCTTTACATGATTCGGCCCAAAAAATGATTCCACCCCCACCTTGCTGACGTCGCAGCCTTGTTGGAACAGGGTGGCCGTCCACCAACCATCCACTACTCCATCCATCTGGACCATCCAGGGTTGCACGGCACTCATCAGTGAACAGGACTGTTTGAAAATTAGTCTTCATGTATTTTTCTACCCAATGCAGCCGTTTCTGCTTGTGAGCATTGGTTAGTGGTGGCCGAATAGAAGGTTTATGCACAGTTGCAAGACTCTGGAGGACTCTACACCTTGATGTCAATGGGACTCAAGAGGCACCAGCAGCTTCAAATATGTTTGCTGCTATGTAATGGTATTTTAGCAGCTGCTCTCTGGATCCGATGCATGGATCTGGCAGAAATCTTCCTCGATGTGTCTTTATCTGCACAAACCCGTCTGTGCTCTGAATCAGCCACAAATCTCTTAATAGTGCGATGATCATGCTTAACATTAGATATTTCACGAAAACTTTTCATACCTCGTCCAAGGCACTGAACTATTTCACTCTTTTCAGCAGCAGAGAGATCCTTTTTCTTCCCCATATTGCATGAAAATGGTGCTCTGCTTAATAATGTGGAACACCCTCCTTTAGTAGTTTTTCCTTAAATTGGGCTCACCTGGCAATCTAATTATCACAGGTGTCCGAGATTGTTTTCAGTGATCAAAAGAGCCCTGAGACACAATGCCATCCATGAGTTAAACTGAAAAACAAAATATTTAATCTTTGTAACACTTAAATAGAATTTGCATTATAATTTGGAACAGGGTGTGTGTGTGTGTGTGTGTGTGTGTGTGTGTGGGTATATATATATATATATATATTATATAATATTATTTTACACTATTTTTAACTTTTTACAGGCAGCAGGGGGACTTCCTGTCATTCCAGGCACTCAATCTGCTGGCACTGCTATGGATGGCTATTCTGTCAATGTGATTGTGAGATCCTCGCAAGGATTTCGCAATCACATGGCCCAGGAAGGCCCTGTCAGCAGTAGAGGGGACTCCTTGGGATGTCAGGTAAGTCCCCTGGATGCCTCCCGCCGGCATTGAAAGCCGGGTCCCCAAGGATGGCATAGCTCTCTCTAACATTAAGAATACAAACATTTATTTTGAATGCTAAAGTTGCAGACTAGTTTTACCCCACTCCTAATTTTAGTTAAAACTTGAAGAAAAGGACTCTTACTTACCATTTCTCTAGTGCCATTAATCCATTAGTGCTGTTGGCTGATCCACCTCCTGCAACGTCATTGGGTTCTCGAACTGATGGGCTACACAGTGCTCATCATAGAGTAGCATTGGAAACTGATGCACTGATCTAAATGCTTCTCACTGGATTCCTTGCTTTTCTATGAGCTGCAACCATGTTTGAAAGCGTTTGTTTTCACGTTCTTTGTAGAGACAGACACTAGAGGTGTTTTTAACATTGCAATGTACACAATTTATATAATCTGTAATAATCGCGTGTGTGTGTGTATATATAATATATGTACACAATATATATATAATATATCATCACATGTAAACTGCTTTTTTTACACTGCAGAGTTAAAATAATCTGCCCTCTTCACCTAGATATGGTCTGCAGGACTTTAGTGGTCCTTTGATAACTACTAATATGCAGTACCTAGAAATATTCACTACTTTGATGTCAAAATATAAAAATAATAAAATTCATTATGGATTTTTATTGGGATTTTTTTACATTCGAATTTCACAATATCCCCAACACTTTGAAGTTACAAAATATATTTTGCAACAGAAAAGTAAGCAATAATAAAAACAAACATATGTATGCATTTTTGTGTTTGCCCATAAAACAATATTTAAAACCCCTTGGACAATTAATAATTTAGTGAAGTCAAATTCAAATGAAGTCACCACTGTAGAAAAAATATATAATTTAAAGGACCACTGTTAGCACCCAGACCACTTCAGCTCAATGAACTGGTCTGGGTGCCAGGTCCCTCTAGTTTTAACCTTGCAGCTGAAAACATAGCAGTTTCAGAGAAACTGATATGTTTCACTGAGGGTTAATCCAGCCTCTAGTGGCTGTCTCATTGACAGCTGCCTGAGGCTCTTCCGCGATTCACACTGTGAAGAAGCTGGATGTCCATAACATTGATAAGCATTGATTAAAGCTTTCATATGGGCTGTTTGAATGCGCGTGCGGCTTTTGCCGCGCCTGCGCATTCAGACCTGACGGGTGGAGAGTTCCCCAGCACAGAGGGAGCCCGGCGCTGGAGAAAGTCAAGTGGGTGAAGGGGTGCCCTGAAGGTGGGGGAGACCTAATGACCCTATAGTGCCAGGAATACAAGTTTGTTTTCCTGGCACTATACTGCTCCTTTAAATACCTCTTGATGAAACATGCCAATTTTATTTCCATTAGGGATTTGATACATTCGTTGGAAACATTAATGGACATCCAGTGATGATGGCATGTTGGTTATTTACAAAAAGGCCAAATTATTGGATTTTTCTTCCTTAACTCTTCGTAACAGAACATTGTGCCTTTAGCCATCAACATTGTTAAATCGCTCAAATGTCTGAAAAAATATTCTCTTGTTTTAAGCATATGTACATGACAAATTATTTGTTGATGATTATCTTTTAAATAAACTGTGATCAAATTTAGATGTGAGGTATAGGAAATAAATTCAAATACTAGAACGTTGAAAATAAAGTATTATTGAAAGAAGTACATTTAAATTGAACCTACAGTAAAGTCCTGTGGGCAAAAATATTTTTAGAGTTAACTTGTTCTGTTTCTTCAAAATAAAAAGTTCCTTGTCTCGATAGATTATGATGTTATATAAATTTATATCAAGAAAATGTAATTTAGTGAAGTTCTAACTGTGTTTTTTCTTTCGGCCATTTGACTTGACTTTGAGTTTATATGGAGATTGCAAGCTCAGGAACTAAAAAGATAGACCTTGATTAGATTCTACAAAGCCAACAGAGAACCTGGATCTAAAATTCTGTGTATTTTCCAATGCAGTTCAGAACTTTACTGGTGGAGTAGTGTAGAGAATATAACAGGAACTGTATTTTATAAGCTTCAAATAAGCATGGGATGCGTTTGAAAAGCTGAATAAGGGTTCCCCAAGAAGAATATTGCGATAGGTAATATTTCTTATATCAATCAACTGATATGAAAATAATGTTTAAAACGCTTAAAAAGCAAGGGCATACCATAACCAATTATTCAAGAAATAAGATACAAGATATACTTTATTTTATTTTTTTTTAAGTGGAGAAAATCCACTGTCACAGTTGATCTCCCCGAATGTCGCAGCAGTTCTGTGTTAGTGGAGGATATGGGAATATGACTTAACTTCAAATATGGACCCTCTTGCCACTCACATGAGAGAACTTGCGCTCTCTGCTCCACAGATACACCAGGCAGAGGAACGTGCTTTTGCATCTGCTGCAAACCTGCTTGGTTATTCTGGGCATGAGAAGCCCATTAGGCTGTTCAAACTTAACAAAGGCTTGTATAGAGCTTTAAACGTTGCCTGTTTCTGTCCAATAAACTTGCCCTGGACCTTATACCTGTGCCCAATCCTTGTTTTGTTTTCATGAAATAACATTGGTTCAGATATCCTTTCCATAGGTATGCCAGTTTATAGAGACAATCATGTAGTTTTTATTGTTGGCATATCTTTTTAGTTTCAAAAAGAATTGCTGATGTCAATATATCAGCGACATGAAAAATCAATAGCTTGTGCATTAGTTTGAACAAATTACAATTTATTAAACATGTGAATTGTTTGGTTGTTGTGGTCTTGCAAACTTTATATTCACTTTTCCTTCTTATTAAGGAAATTCCACCCATGTAAAAGCACAGCCAAAGCTTGAGACAAACAAACCCGTCCATACATGGTTTTATGAGCTTTATAATAAACTTTAGAGTATCAGTAGTAATATCTTTTTTGAGTAGTTCGAAAAAAATGCATGAGATATTTCAAACAAGATCTATGCACGGTGATAAATTTTCATTATAGATTTACATATGGCTTTTGTTGATCAGTCAGTACATTTTGGGAACCGCAGTGGTATCCAGGAATCTGGTTCTAAATATAGAAGGGATATTTTCCTAGATGGTTTCAGGCCAGTTGTCTGAATAAATTGATAGACATATCAGTGTTTTGAAACCCTATAGACAATGGGGAGATATAAAGGGACACTCCAGACCCATAAAGCACTTCAGCTTGCTAGTGCTTTATGTGTGAATATTATTTTTATTTTGACAAAGTGTAGATTTCAACAGAAATTGTCCCTTTAGTAAATTAACATTGTTACACTCCCTAGCTGTCAAACAACCAGTACTGTTACTTCCTGTTTGTTAAGCTCAGTGGAGCTGAACTCAAGAAGCAGGTTATTAACCAGAGCACCTGCATTGGGAAGTCTGTAATTGGACAGTTTGACATCTGTTGTTTTTTGAGCCCTTTTAAATCACTACAAAGTACGATTAAAAACATTATGGAAATTGAACAGTCCATTTTCAGAACACTTTAATAAATAACTTCTTTGTGTTAATATTGACTCGTGAGAGGTTAAGGAAACTCCTGTCCAGTACCTTTTGGCTCTCTGGCAAAAGTAGTCTATGTGGAGAGTTGTTCCCAGATACTGCGATGTTACTTGGAGTGTTGCTTTCATTTATAGGTTGTTATATTTTTTTTTAAATTTATTTAATTTTAAGTAAAAAAATTATAATTCCAAAGATTTGTCACATTAGAGATCTTTGAGTCATGGCACTGATCAACTTTGAACATTCTTTAGTGGTATCCATTGGACATCAGAATTCATTTTGGATGAATACACTTTTCGTCCAGACTTCATGCATTTGTCCATTTGTCCAAAAAATGAATGAATGAATTGAAATTACAATGAATCAAAACAAAAACTGAATTGCTTGTTGGACAAAATTTCATTCTGCATATTATTTCGTTCATTCATTTAGTGGATTAGCGACTTGTAATAAAATAAAAGTAGGGCGCTAAAATCAAATGAACTAACCACTAAAAATAATGTATAGAAATTCTATAAAAGCTGCATCTTACAATGTGTAAAAAGCTCATATATCCATAACATGCGCTGTGCGTTAAAATTTAAAGAGTAATATGATATACCGTATATACTCGAGTATAAGCCGACCCGAATATAAGCCGAGGCCCCTAATTTTACCCCAAAAAACTGGGAAAACTTATTGACTCGAGTATAAGACTAGGGTGGGAAATGCAGCAGCTACTGGTAAATTTCTAAATAAAATTAGATCCTAAAAAAATTATATTAATTGAATATTTATTTACAGTGTGTGTATATGATGAGTGCGCAGTGTGTGTATGAGTGCGCAGTCTTTGTATAAATGCAGTGTGTGTGTGTATGAGTGCGCAGTGTGTGTATGAGTGCAGTGTGTGTGTATGAATGCAGTGTGTCCAAGCAACTTAGCGTTAGGCAATCCTCTAATATCAATGGATGTGGATTCCCTCGTGGATCCTGTAGGAGACACCTGGAGACCAGGAGTAGTAGAGGGCCTTCACATGACCACTCCAGCAAGAGAGGGAACCATGGTTGACTCCTCCAAAGTATTGTGACTAGGAGAAGCGACGCTCCTAGGAGTGTGGTCCGATGCAATGTCTGAAGTATCATGGAGAAAGGGGGAAACGCATATTTACACGAGGGAGGCCAGTCCCGGAGAAACGCGTCCACCGCCTTGTTGAGGTATCTGGAAGCCAACTGAACAAACTCCGTCTAACGGTTCGCCCTGGATGTGAACAGATCCGAGTGAAGGGTGTCTCTGGATGAGTCCAGAAGTCGAAACACCGGAGGGTGAAGTTGCCAATCGGTGGCATCTCTCCAGTGTCTGCAGAACCAGACCACTTCTTGATTGCCCTGTCCCGGGAGATATTCTGCCACAATTGACAAATTCTTGTCCAGACAGTATTGAAAGAGATCCTTCGGGAGATCCGACAGCAGTTTGGAGCGGGAAACCTCCCAACCAATTTATGTAACGTTGTCCATGCAGAGAAGCAGCAAGCAGTGATTCTTCCCCTTGGTGAAACTGCGAGTGGCGACCGATCCTGCAATTAGTTCCAGACAGTAGATGTGAATAGCTCTCTCCTCTGGAGTCCAAAGTCCTCCTGTCGCCACTCCATCGCAAGGAGTTCCCCAACCCATACAGCTGGCGTCTGATTCCAGGACGAAGTCTGGTTAAGGTCTGAAAATTGCCTTCCCGGTTCAGGCCTCCATATGTTGCAGCCACCAATGAAGTTCCAGACTGGCTTCGTTTGAAAGCCACACAACTCGGTCGTACAAGGCCAATGACCTGACATAGCGAGCCTTCAGGCGTTAAAGTGCCCGATAATGCAAGGTCCTGGAAGATGGCTTGAATGGAGGATGACAACAGGCCAAACGGCCGGGCCAGGTCCCTTAGTGTAACCCGCATGTCGCGGAACAGGCTTCTGATATCCTTCCTGAAGGTGGCGCAGTGTGTGTATGAGTGCAGTGTGTGTATGAGTGCAGTGTGTGTGTTTGTGTTGCAGAGCTTTGGTGGGGGGGTGGGCATTTTTATAAAAAAAAAAAATTTTTTTGGTTATATTATTTTTTTATTATTATTTATATATTAATTGATATTATTTAAATATTTTTGTTATATTATTTTGTTTATTATTATTTTTATTATTATTTTTATTTATATATTATTAATTAATTTATTTTTTGTCCCCCCTCCCTGCTTGATACATGGCAGGGAGGGGGGCTCTCCTTCCCTGGTGGTCCAGTGGCATTGGCAGTTCAGTGGGGGGAGGAGGGGGGCTGGCAGAGCTGTTACTTACCTCTCCTGCAGCTCCTGTCAGCTCTCTCCTCCTCCGCGCCGGTCCGTGCAGCTCTTCTGTCAGCTCACACTGTAAGTCTCGCGAGAGCCGCACTATGACCCCGCGGCTCTCGCGAGACTTACACTGGGAGCTGACCGAGGTGCTGCACGGACCGGCGCGGAGGAGGAGAGAGCTGACAGGAGCTGCAGCAGAGGTAAGTAACAGCTCTGCCAGCCCCCAGTCTGTATTATGGCAATATAAATTGCCATAATACAGACAGTGACTCGAGTATAAGCCGAGTTGGGGTTTTTCAGCACAAAAAATGTGCCGAAAAACTCTGCTTATACTCGAGTATATACGGTATACAAAATTGCATGAAAGAGTACAACATACACATATGTTCACATATGCTAACATTTAGTAAGCTGATGTGCCTTAGGTTATCCAATTAGAGTATCTTCGAGAAATGGGGGGAATCAGAAAAACAAATAGGGTAATATTGTTGAAACTAATCAAAGGATAAAATAATCAGGAAAAGCACTCACAGAAGTAGAGCAGTGCAGCCTGCTCTAACTAAGATCCCTCTTCTCAATAAGTGTATGAAGACTGTGGTGAAATCCATATCCTTTATTAAACAATGTTAAAATGCAGGAAGGCAGGTAAACCCTTCTGATCCTCTCTGGTCACTCCGATCCTACTGTCAGACTCCAGCTGCGAGTGACTCCAGGAACCAGATGCTGTTTCTGCACTTCCAAGAGGCGGGGCTTCAGACCAACATGTGTAATGATGTTAGGGCTGTAATGACGCGTTTCGCCAATATCAACTGCATCAGTCCACAGTCTCTGCTCTAGAAATGGGCTTGCTTAGCCCAAGAAGTCTAAGAATCTTATGATATATCATTAGCTACAATACTAAAGATCATTTGCATGAGGAATAGAATCAGCTGTCAAGGCTTGACAAAGTGAATATAAACGATAGGGAAGTATTGGCTAAAATGTAAAAAAAAAAATGCTTTGCATGCATATTGTTCCAAAAGTTCAGCATTTAAAATGAAAATTACGGTCATTCTAGCCTCGGTAAGGGAATAATCAAAATTTTATTAAAGACAGGAGGCAAATATTTGCTTTACCTTCTTTACTGAAAACCTCCAGCAGCAAAGAAAAACGTTAACAGAACTTTTTCAAACAACCAATCAGAACAAAATAACAGCAGTATGAAATCCCTCAGTCATACCCTCCCACTTCCTCTTTCTTTGCTGAAGTCGAGCAGGAGAGCAAGGAAAACCAACGAATCCAACTTGTAACAGGTACATCTCGAGAAGAAATTGCCAAAACCAGAGGGAAACCAGTTTATACTGCAAGGAAAAAGAAACATTGTGAAAGTAAACTGTCATGGCATATCCATACAAT